AGAAAATGAGAATGAGTTGTCGAAGAAAATCTTCACGAATCACATTATAGGAAAGGAATTACGATTTGAATGTAATGCCACCCTACACGATCAACGGAATTATTGAAGTTAAGAATTGAGAAGGAAACAACACATTGTTATTTTATGTTTAAAGTTTCCATGGCAAATGTTTGCTACCTCAGCAAGATGTATCGATATCGGTAGTATCTACTTTAGAGACGTGAAATCATTTACATTGATTTTTTATTGACAAACACTCTTTAGTATAAAATTGCTAATCAACATTTTATCACAAAATTATTCTTTGAGATAAACCTGCCATTTGTTTGTTATATACTTTTACCTTCACTGACTGCCATTAAAACCGACACATTTTCCGTAAAATAATATCTGGCGCAACGACAAACTTATAAGAAGCGTTATTAACTGATAACTCTCCACAACAGGGGAACCTCGTTTCTCTCAGTTGCTGTGTTCCATTACAAAATCTCAATTTTCCCTTTTTTATTCCCAACAACAACTCGCCTAATATATGGAAATGATTGTGTGCGCGATGCTAGATTTCAGCTGCCGAATCAAGAAGCCCGCCTCCGAGCGACCACCCCACGTACCTTCAATTTTCCCCTCCGCCTCCATTATTAGGGGCTACTTTTAATTGTCCCTTACGAGGGGCCGGCGTGTGTCCAGTCACGGCACACCTTATCGCGACGCGGTAATTACCAAGCTCGGCCTCCCTGAAAGTCCCGGGGTGTTTATTTCGTCTCCTTGGAAACGGCCTTTTTTTTAACACATCGATTCCATGCTGCCGTGTGACGTGACCCCGCACACATGATCAAATCCCTGGGGCTACCATCCGCAGCGGGAGTAGAAAAAGAAGAAGGAAGGGGAAGCGAGGAGGATGGAAAATGGTTTCAACTCTGGATGGTGCGATATTTGAATCGAAATGATTCTTGCCATATATGACGATTTTCAAATATTCATCGATGGTATCAATAGCAATTATTAAAAATATAAAATACCAGGAAATGAAATTATACCAATTTTTAATTGGAAATACTTTCTTTAGATTGGAACAGTTACTTTAGATTCTTAATAAATTATAAATTGTCATTATTTATTTTTAAAATTATTCTAGTATTTTACTCACAAAGTAGAAAACAGTATTGTTTGTTGACGTGTTTAGGGACAGAGCAGGTTAGGACTGTCTATATCACGTTTTTCGAGCATTTTACTTCCCACTTGTAGGGCCCTCTGAGTAGGTTTCTTGACGCGCCAAAAAAGGTCTTACGACTTCTATAGCGGGGAGGAGATGGCGTCGCTAGCGTGCTTCAACCGCCATATTTATTGTGAATAAAGCCAGTAAATATTTGAGTTCATTTGAAAACGAGACTGAGTGGACCTCAAGGTAACCCTCTGTATTACATGAACAGGTAAAAATCATCAGCCTCATTGGAGTTTGAACTCTGGTTTCTCAGGTTAACACACGTTTGCCCTACCCTGCCTCGACCCGGGTGGTCACATAAAGAGCCAAAATGGAAACAAAGCGCTTATAATGTTAACACAATTGAAACAATAGATTCAGAATTTGTAACTAGAATCTTCCTATTTTTGTCTAAAAATGGGTTACTTTTGTTCATTTAAGGGTTTGTCCTAAACTTATCAGAAATTATTGTAACGATATTGAAGGTAGGCTTGCTTAAATAGTGATAAAGCGTGAAATCACTAATTATATACAAATCTTTACTAATTTTCAACATTCAGATTTTGGAACGCAAAATGTTTGCAAGTTTTCTTTTCTTTTATTTACAAGATTAGGGAGGAAAATCACAGGAAACGCCTCAATAAAACATTCTTTAATTTTTTGGCACACTCGTCAGGATTAATGTGTTCTACTAAACGATTGTTAAGATTCGTGTAGGCGGCGAGGCGATACACACACTTTTATGTGAAAATGGGATGTTTGCGTGAAAGGATGTGTTACTCGATTAGACTAGAAGCTGTTCAACTCATACTTAGTAATCATTGAGGAGTAAGATTGTAACAGCATTCAAGATATTCTAATTTTTCGGGGGTACTTTCCATGAATCTCCTGTGACATTTTCTAAATTTTCTGAAAAATGGCAGCAAATTATATTTTTTTCTCAAATAGAGGAAAGTGCATTTACAAAAATTGCATAGTTTTGGTTTTCCCTAAAACCTCTGAAATCTTAAAAATCGAAAAAGTTCAAATATATTTCGAATCTATCCTACAATACTAAAGCATTGGGATATTTCTCAATGCAATCCATCCTTCACTTTTAAATCTTTAAATGAAGTTATGTGCTTTTTTCTACATACGAGTCGGAAGCGGGTTTCTATGATTAAGCATATTTTTGTCCGTTGCTTCAGTGTATAGCTAAGAGAAATTTCATGACATTTGGTTTACTTGTAAAGCTATATAGATGAATGTGTTAGTGCATATTTGTGCATATTTTGCCGATTTTTTCTGTTGGTGCAGAGTCGAGTAAGGAGCATGTTTTGCAATTTTAGTTAAAAAAGAGACTTATCTTTAAACGTTTATCTTCATGAATCTATTTATTTGTGAGCCGTCATTGATTCAAAAGAGCTTGTCACAGTTTACATTTTTTCTATATATGATAAAATATTTGTACAAATGTTATACAATTTCTTCATAAAATATTTTTTAAATCAGTCAGAAACAATACAAGAAGACATAAAGTGTACTTCACTAAGGTGAAGATTTACTTGTTATTTCTCTCGCGAAGTAGGGTAGATTATGTTATGTTATATTGTATGTTTGTTCAAAAATATATCTTCAATCCGAGCATGAAATTCCTGAATATTATCAAGAAAGGTTTATAGAGGCAATGAAATATTGTTAATTTTAATTGCATATTAAAGGACATATTTCAGAATTTTTAGATCATAAATCCATATTTTGTAAAAATATTTCAGAGATTTTTTGGGGACATAAAAATCCTCTCGCTAGTAATAACACTAAATTGAGGGAATATTACGGTATGCCGCGCATTCCCACTAGTTTAGTTTTGTTTGGGGCAAAGTCATATCTTCGGGCTGAGAGACACTTATTACGATAGTAATGGCCACGCAATTATCGATTCAATAGCATCGGTACTGTGGCTGGGAATACAAAACAAATACGGCAATACCTTATCGACAGAATCGGTGTGGGTGAGAATGAGTCGGTGCAATCGCGGCCGTTGGGAAACGTTTCGCATGTGCATTCCGCGCCGTAAAACTGTAAGTGGGGGAGTGAGAGGGCGGGCGCTCTCTTACGCAAAGCTCCGTTATGAGCGTTTTACCACTAATGGGCGTCTTTCGTCACGTGTTCGTCGAGAATTACGAATGATATCGGTAAATACAATTTGCGTGGAGTATAGATGTGGTTTACGAAAGACCATAGAAGGGCTGAGGAACTGTCGCAACCCCTGCTTCCCCCCATGGGTCCTCGTGAGTGCCTGATATAATGGATGGGGCGTGAGTAGAAGCTTTGTGTTGTAAGGAGAAACGCAAGGAATTAAGTTCATCTCTGTCGTAATGCACGATTTTATATCTATTCACTAAGTTTTAGTCTCTGCAGAGACGTCTAAACACTTCGCGTTGCTTTGAAAATAAAAATGGTCAATAAGGAAGACACAAGGGAACGGTTGATGATGTCTCGCAATCACAATAAGCTTTCTCGTAAATAGATTTCTAAAGTTTCAGAGCAGATACATCACATGCAATTATTTGAAATGATTGCAAAAGAGAACGTAACGTAATGCGTGCAAGGAAATAGTCGTTTACGAAAGAATATGAGATTTCGAAATGAAATGATTTTATGTATATCGTAATTCCACCTTATGGGTATCATTTGCACATTTGTGACAGAAACGGACAGTGATAAAGTTTGCATTAATGTTATTATGAACTATTTAATTGTACAAATGACGGTATTGAATGTTTAAACGTATTTTCATTTTGTTTCTGGTTAAGTAGCAAAATAATGTAAGAATTTTTTTAAGATTGTTTTTATATTTCTTTCTCTTTTTTATTCTGTCTCTAAACACCATTTTGCTTCACAGGGAACTTTTCAGTATTCTACAATTCTCTAGTCGCATGGTGAAAGTTCTTAAGTAGATTGGTTTAGTTAAAGACTTTTACTATGTGCTCACATAATTATTGTACAATGTGAATTACTGTGAGAAATGATAACAAATAATTCTGATCAGCCAACATTTTTTAATAAACAATCCTTCCCAAAAATTCTGAATCTAGATTTTTATTCAAACATCTAATTTTAATTACACTTTATGAATGAATTTTATTCCTGCAAGATATTTCTCATGGTGGATTTAGTACATTTGATTTGCCAAAATGACATTGCTGACTTGTTGATTTTCTATTCTTTGACAACAATTTGTAAAGTTATTAGGAAATTGGTAATATGATTGTTTATTTAAGAACAAAACTCACCAAACCCTCCCTAAAAACTCCCAAAACTTCCAAAATAGCTCAGCAAATAACAAATCCCACCCATTGAACGAGATTTGCCAAAATGCAGCTGCAGACTTGGCGAGTTTTACTTGTTTAGTAACGATTTGTAAAGTTATTAGATAATTGGTTTTTTAAACATTTTGTACAGCAGGAATACCTGCTTACAGGAGATTATAACTTCTATCAGCCATTCTGGCATTTGTTTTTTTTCACTTCCAAGGCCCTCTATTGATTAATGGGCCACAGAAGAAATCACATGGTTTCTGAAAGTGGCAGATGGTGTGGCAAGTGCCATGCTTCATGTGCGTGTTTTATCCAATGTTGACTGTTAATAAATCTATTAAATATTGGTACTCATTTTGAAAAGAGACTGAATGAATCTTAGGCTCGTCCAGAATGGAAATCGGTGATACGAATGTTTATTTAAGAACAAACAGTCCCCAACCCGCCCAGCAAACAACAAATGCCACCCGCCGAGCGTGATTTCCAGCAAACGCACCCACCTGCACGCGCGCCTCGCTCAGATCCAGGCGCAGGGCGAGCTCCTCGCGCGTGAACACGTCCGGGTACTGCGTCTTCTCGAAGGCGCGCTCCAGCTGGTGCAGCTGGAACGTGGTGAAGGTGGTCCGCGAGCGACGGATCTTGCGTGGCTTCGACTCGTCCCCGCCGCCCGCGCCACCGCCCCCGCAGCCGCCGCCGCCGCCGCCGCTG